TCCCAGTCTTTCTACGAGAGACTCGAGTCTCTCAATTTTTCAGTTTTATTCATTCAGTCTCTCTGTGAGAGACTCGAATCTCTGAATTACCAATTTTATCGTTCGAGTCTCTCATACAGAGACTGCGAGAGATCCATAAAAACACCTAGGCAATCACTGAGAGACTGTGAAAGAATGTGAGAGACGCTCTCAGAGACGCTGAAAGACTCTGAAAGACTGGAGAGAGACTCAAAATTTATGTCTAGGGTCTATCTAATTATATATATATATAATTAAATCGAAAAAGAGTTTTGTTTTTAATGGGACACATTAAAAAGTATTAGAAAAAGAATAATTAAGAGAAAATATTTTGCCGGTGTGTTTCCACGTTCGCAAAAAAACTTTAAGACAGTTTTTTACATGAACCAATGCCGAAATAATTGTCGAAGTGAACATCAGGTCGCGATCTGCTGACTTGCGGATATTCGGCTTAACACATCGATCTTCTTATGGTCTTGTTGTTGCTTTTAATATGGTGTCTTGAGGCACAACTTATAGTAAATTCATACGAAACTTTTCGTTAATAATAATTAGAACAGATTAAAGTATTAACCACATTACCAATTTCATAAAGTTCATCAGATCATAAAACATCCATTAGAGGAAATGTATCATCAAAAATTGTGGGATACATTTATGAAAAGCCATAAACCACTTACCGCAGGCTTCCAACGGGAGGTGTAGCATAGGGCACCCCGAGAAAAGCTTCGACTGGTGGATGACTGTGCACAATGACACCCCGTAAAGGACCGTATTTCGTGTTAACGACGCGTGTGCTGTACTTATGAACCGAAACCGAGACCGCGAAATCGTTCCACAAACACACAACAACAATCAACAGCCACAAAGCACGAAAAATTTGAGAGACGAATTTAAAAACATGTCCCGCAATATCGAGTGGCACACGCATGACGTCACCAAAATTGAATAAACCTCCATTCAGCCTTCTCGGGCATCCTTAAGAGCTTCGTGACCATTCACCGGATTCTTTTAATTTCATCTTCACCTATCGGCCCTTGCAGTTTGAGGTTTTACAATCCGATACGTAGCTTTGTCGTATCCAATTGGGTTTGATGGCACAAGTTATTAGCAATTTATCAATTTCCATCTTGTAGAGATATCAACAGTCGAGGAAGGTTTGTTTGTAGCGAATGCAGTCTACCCCTTGTGAGCAAATATCGACTTTCTCTTACTTCTCATTTTATTTTTCTGACAAATTACATAAATATTTTGGAAATGTTCTGTCGACCAAACGGATTTACGACTTCTCGGATGTCAAGTGTTTTCTTAAAAAGGTTTCTTTCATTTTTCTCATCTTCTACTCGTCGGAAACAAGACCCTTTCCACAAGTGAGATTCAGACCATCTCCTGGAAAATAAAATTTCATTAGTGAAGGCAGACAATATACTGTGAGTTTAAATTTAGATACCCGCTAACAAGCTTTACTATGGCATAGCAAACTCTTCGTAGGTAAACATGGAAGCAAAAATAATAATTTATTTAGCACTCAATAAGTAGTAATTAACAATTATGTATTTATTTACTAAAAATTTTATACTTGAAAAAAGGAAAATCTGCTAGAATACAGAATTTACAACCTAATGTCTTATAAATTGATTTCTAATGCCTCTAGTTAGATTTATAAACCAATAATTGCCTTCTTCTTGGCTAAAAATGACAGGATTCACTTCAACTACTCGGTAATCATGTAAAAATCAACATTATTAAAGTTTCGTATCAATAGATTTTTTTATTTTTGGTCATTTATTTCTCTACTTTTGTTCGTGATCGCATATTGATCTTTTTCGATAAAGTATATATATAATTATATCAAACATAATTTTTATATTCTATCATGTCCTTCAAAGATTATTGCTAGGATTCCTCACCTCATTTCTACATTTTCTATCAGACGGTTTTATCTAAATTCATCTTGATCTCACCTATAGGAGCTTTTATTCAATATAATATAAGAAAAAGAAATTTAAAAGAACGCAATCTATCTCGCACCGTAAAGTTATATTCACTCATACTATTCATTTATTCAT